GCGCCAGTCATGATAACCACGAATGCTGCGCATGCCACGTTCCAGGCGGGCAGTCTTTCTCAGTATTCTTCAGTCTTGCCAAGCCGACAGTTTTCTTGTGCAGGCTCCTCTAGGCCGCGCAGACGCTAAGTGATACAGCCAGGCCAGGCCCCTCTTTTTCTTGCCAGCCCAAGCCTCAGCTGTTGCGTGGCAGGTCCAGCCTGCTAGTCTGAGAGAGGCGGTTGTATACAGCCCACGTAGTCTAGCAGCAGCCCTTTTTGCGCTACTGTCTTTTGCAGCCGCCAGACTCGACTCTTGGCCCGCTTAGGCAACACAGGTATGTGCATACTCATGCTTGATTCAGTCTGGTTGGCAGACGACAATCCCCAAATAGTTTTCTGGTTCAAACACGTACAGTCGCAGGTTTTGTAGTCTTAGTCTGTTTTTCAGTCGAGACTCTGCAGTTGAAGCGGTCATGCTGCGGGCTTGTGCCAAAAACGCAGTTCTTTGCACTTGCATGCTTCAGTCCTGTTCAGTATGGGACTTGTGTGCATGCGCCCGCCCTGCGTGCTTTCGGCTTGCGCCTGGCAGTTAGGGGTAGTCCCTGGGACAGCCTCAGCAGGCGGGGGCCACTTGCAGTCTGGGCTTGAGCCTGCAGACAGACCGGCTTGCGCCAGGTCTTGGTCCGGCGTTGCAGGCCGGCTTCTGTGACCTTGTGGTCATTTGCCAGCCTTGCGGTCTGGCAGGCGGCAGTGCGGCGACCGAGACGCGAGAATCAGGTCGGACCCAGTCCTTTAGTACTTCAGTCTTTCTCTCAACTGGCAGGTAAGACCTTCAACTACCTCGTGGTCATGTCGTCCGTCAGTGACAGCAAAGTCACTTTCAGAGCAAAGGCGCTTCAGCAAAGCGTTCCGGAGTCAGCCGTTGAAGCCTGGGAGAAGTCAGGCATAGCCACGTATAGTCAGCTCCTTTTCAGGGTCGCTTCAGCCCCAAATCAGACAGATCCAGTCAAACTACAGGCGCTTCTAGACAACATGAGTCCTAAGGCCGATGCAGTCGTCACAGCCGCAGTTAACAGGCTACTATTCGAGGCAGGAACCTTTATAGTAGCAGAACTCAGACAGACACTCGAGGCACCAGCAGGCGAACCCAGCCGACGCCTGTCCACTCAGGAGCGCAGCAGCCGCCTCACAGCCTTGCAGGCAAAGCTCGGAGCCTTTCGCATAGCAGGTCAATTCGAGCCTAGTTTTCAGCTAGTCGATCTTTGCAGTGCAATGGTCGTAGACCAAGCAATCCGCCACATACCGCTCAATCGCTGTTCTAGTCGAGAGCAGGAAGTGTCGAACGTTAAGAAGGATGAACATCTGTTCAGACTTGACAACGCAGCCTTGAGGCTTGCAGTCAAGCCTCAGACGCTCAAGGTAGACTTGTCTACCGAGCTCAGAGTGTCGCAGGCACTCAGCAGACGTGGCTTAGCCCTTGAGATGGCGGGTGTTTGTACTTTTCAAGTACATGAGGAGTACGCTCGCTCTCTTCTCGAGCACCTGCACAGGCCGCCGCCGCCCAAGTTCGACCCGCCTGGGATCGATTCACTCTTGCGCGCAGACAGGGAGATGTGGATCCGAGTCTAGAGCAGGTCAAGAGTGACTTCACAGGGCCAGGCAAAGCCAATGTAGTTGACACGGCAATTCAGCAGTGGCAGCATAGTATGCAGGTAGCCTACTTTTTGGTCCCTGTGCCTAAGCCTGAGAAGCCCACCCAGCCACTCAAGCGTCCCTGGGAAACTGCCTTTGCCACCGAGAAGGGCAACAAGAGCAAAGGCAAAGGAAAGTTCATGCAACAGGCATGGCAGGCTGGGAAAGCAGGCAGGGGTAAGACTGGCAAAGGCAAGGACAAGACTCAGACGTCCATGCCAGCCGCGCTCAAAGGCCTAGACCCCAACTTCAAAGGCCAGCCTATTTGTTTCAACCACAGCCTTCCTCACGGCTGTACAGAAGACACTTGGCAAACGGACTTAGGCCTCACTTGCAGAAGGGGGCTTCACATCTGCATGAAGTGTCACGGTGAACACTCGTACTTCAGCAGACCTCCTGACGCCAGCACTCACCAGACAGCTGGAAGAGACCAACAGCCCTTTTCAGAGCCCACGCTCTCAGTCGCTCAGGCCGAACCTGCTCCCAGTCTAGAAAAACAGACTGGCAGTCTCAACCGCAGTTGTTTGTTCGGCCTCTGAGGACAGGCTGTCGCAGCGTGAACCCTCTCTGTCGGCCGACGCAGGTGTCCCACAGTTGGAGGACTGCTGGGAAACTCAGCCTGGCACCAGTTCTCCTGCAGCCGAGGCCCCAGCAGAGGCCTCAGCGGCGCCGCCGCTGCCCTCCCTCCCTGACCCTAGTCACCGTGTTTCCGTAGGAAACCTTTTTCTGGAAGTCTTCGCAGGCACAGGCAGAATGTCTAAGGCATTCGCAAGAATTGGTCTGCAAGTTTTGGCCGTAGATTCGGTAAGGCCACAAGCAGTCCCAGGCCTGTGCCTGGACCTCTCAAAGCCTCAGAGCCAAAAGGTCATCTTGGACCTCGTACAGTCACGGCGATTAGTGGCAGTACACCTGGCCCCCCCTTGCGGCACCAGCAGTGCAGCCAGGAGTATTAAGGCAGGACCTCAGTCTCCTCAGCCATTGCGTAGCCCAGCGCACCCAGACGGCCTACCGCGCCTAGGTTTCTTGAACAGACAAAGAGTGGCGGCAGCTAACAAGCTTTACGCATTTACTGCGGCAGTCATTCAGGCTTGCGCTGAAACGGGTACCGACTGGTCTCTTGAGAACCCTCAGTCGAGCCTCTTCTGGCTGTGTAGCCCCATGCAGGCCTTGTGGCGGTCGCTTAAGGGCAAAATCTTTTTCGCAACCTTTGACAGCTGTGTTTACGGCGGTGCCAGGCGTAAGGCCACCACGTTCTAGGCCAGCACCAAGGCAGTGGAAGCCCTGTCTCTAAGGTGCCACCAGGGGCTGGGACACCAGCACCTTCCCTGGGGTAAGGATGGAACAGCCTGGGCTACTGCGGCCGAGGCGGCGTACCCACCAGCACTCTGCAGACACTGGGCCTGTTTGCTAGCAGAGCACCTTGCAGCCTCTGGACGTCTCACAGATGCAGGAAATCAGTACGGCGCTCAACGTTTTGCAGCGGCTGAAAGAGCAGCCTTGGGTCTTTTTCCCAAGGCTACCCACTCACCAATCTGTGTAGAGCCCTTTCAAGGACATCAGTGGGTGAAGTTGTCTTCAGACGAAGACCGCACCAAGTTCGTGCCAGGCGTCCGGCTTCAGGACAGCGCCTTTCCAAAAGGCTCCACCACCGTAAAAGTGGTAGTGGAACACGGAACTTGGTGGGCTCTTGTGGGTCAGCCTGTTGAGCCGGTCGAGTTCTTGGAAAAGGCAGTCAAGAGCAGACACCCCGCGTGCTCTCTGCCACCGTTGCCGGCAGCTCTGGAAAAGACAGTTGACAGGCTCAGCGCTGCAAAACTAGCAGACGTCCACAGACTCAGGTGCCAACGGCTCAAGTCCATGTGCGACATGGCAAATGAGCTTCAGCACCAGGAGGACGCAGACCACAGATCTTTGGAGCCGCACCTTCGTGACATCCTCAAGGGCAAGCGCCTCAGGCTCTTTGAGACTCTGCTTAAAGGGATGGATTTCCCAGACAAGCACTTAGTCGGCGATATGCGGTCGGGCTTTCGCATCACAGGATGGCTTCCTGACACTCAGACCAGACCTAGCAAGGTAGTCCCCCCGGCACTGCACCGGGACGAAGTCTGGGAACAGAGAGAGAAGCACAACCGTGTGATGTGGAGCCAGTGCAAGCCCAGCTCCGACCCTAGTCTCGATGCAGCCCTTTGGAAGCAGAGTCTCGAAGAATGTGCAAAGGGATGGGCCACCCTAGAGACGGGTCACGTCGAAGTGCCAACCAATTGCGTACTTGGGCGCCGTTTCCCAATAGTCCAAGGAGACAAGACTAGGCCCATTGACGACCTTTCAGCCAGCTTAGTCAACAGCACGTTGGGAGTAGATGAGAAAATCGTTGTGCAGCCCTCAGCCTCCACCATCAGCCTAGCGCTGCACATCCAAAGTAGGTGTTTGTCAGCCAGGAGAAAGCCTTCGCAGCCGGCAGGCATGAAAGGCAGAACTTTCGACTTAAAGTCTGCCTTCAAGCAGCTAGGCATAGCCTCGCAGGACCTACCTTTTGCCAAGGTCACAGTGTGGAATCCAGACAGGCAGTCCCCTGCTGTCTTGGCTTTGAAAGCCCTTCCATTCGGTGCGACTGGCAGCGTACATGGTTTCAGTCGCTGTAGTCTAGCCCTTTGGCAAATTGCCGTCAGCCTTTTATTACTGCCATTGACAATGTTTTTCGATGACTACACAGCTGTCACAGTCTCGGAAGACAGCCAGAGCGTCGAGACAAGCTTCTTGCTTCTGTTAAAGCTCCTGGGCTGGAAGGCAGCCCTGCATGGCAGCAAAGCACAGTCGTTCTCAGAATGTTTTGTCAGCCTCGGCATAGCCTACATTCTGCCCAGAACTCCTGCAGGCTTCGTCCGAGTGAGCAACACGGACGCCAGGAAGCAGGAAGTCAGCGACACGTGCTTCCGCGCCCTTAAAGCAGGCACTTTCTCGCCAGCAGAATGTCTGGCATTTGCAGGCAGGCTCAGATGGCTAGACGCTCAGAGTTTTGGCAGACGAGGCAGGTGGGCCTTCAGGACAATTCTGGAACACGGCACCAAGCCAGGGAGGTCCAGAGCTTCAGCTCTCGCCTCAGCTGCGTGACGCCTTAGTCTGGGTGCAGGAGCACGTTCCCACAGCAAAGCCCAGAGCGTTCAAAACACCAGCCTCGAAAGCCTACAACGTCTTCACAGACGGCTCATTTGAGGCAGGAGTAGGAAGAGTAGGAGGAGTCCTCTGCAGCCCTACGGGCACAGTCACAGAGTGGCTTCAGGCAATAGTGCCCTCAGACATGGTTCAGTCCTGGCTTCAGGAGGGCACCAGCCATCCCATCATGCAATGTGAACTACTGGCAGTTTCCGTAGCCGCCGCTCTCTGGGGAGCAGCCATGACAGATTGGCCAGTCACCTGGTGGATCGATAATAACCCAGCCTTGCATAGCCTTATAGCAGCCAAAGGCTATCCAGACTCGAACTACAGGCTGGTACAGACAGTCCTGCACTGTGAACAGGAGTTCCTCCTGCAATCCTGGTTCTCGCGCGTTCCAAGCGCAAGCAACCCGGCAGACGCGCCCAGTCGCGGGGAGAAGGCAGAGTTTTTACAGCACGCTACAGAAAGAGAAATCAAGGTGGGGTGGATGAGGTGCCTCGCAAGAGGTGCTGTGCCACTTAGCCTACTGCAGCCGACTAATTGAAAGGATATTGGGGCCGAAGTCGTCGCACGGGTCCCAGCCTTGAACAGCCGGTTTGCAGGCGCTTCAGTCGCAGGAACTTTTCCAGTGGCTGTCAGGGGCGCAGGACTTCTGACAGAAGCAGACACGAAGCCCGTAGGAACGACCTGCGGAGCTCTGAACCCCACCTTGTGAAAAGAACCTCTGCCTGCATCACTCCGTAGAGTTGACATCCGTTAAGACACGTATGCTTGCATCCTGCTTTAACGGTGGACCAACGACCATTTTGGTTCAAGTTGGTCCAGATTTTCAGCCCGCCCTCCACTCCCTATGAGACGGGTCATAGACCCAGCTTGGGAATGTGGCTTAGGCTTCGGAGAAGTCAAGCGCAGCCGCACAGACTTACGCCTGCCCTGGGAGGAGCCTATTTTCAGTTTTGTGGCAAGCGACAGGTGCTTCTTGGACGACGTGCAGGCGTCTCTGCTGGATCCGCCAGACCCGGTAGCCCTGCCTACGCCGGTGTTGGAGACAGCTAAGACCTCGCTTTTGGCTCCAGCCCAGTTGCCTCAGCCCAAACTCAGACGTTTGTCTCAGTGGAAACCTCAGGACAGTCAAGCAGAAAGACAAGCAGCCCTCTCCAAGTGGAGTCAACTGTTGCGAGCAGCCCCTCACTTCTTCACTGAGGCGATTCAGTTGGAGATAGTCCATGAAAACATGCAGATTGAGTTGGGAAACTTTGACCTGAGGTTCGCCAAGAAGAGCACAAACACTCTTCTGAACAGGGTTAGCAGTCTGCAGAGGTTTGCAGCCTGGGCCCTGAGGTCCTTTCCGCATGAGCCCCTGGCAGAAGCCTTGGTTTTCCTCTACTGTCAGCAACTCAGTCAGAAACAGACTGGTAGCAGTGCCCCGGACCAGCTGTGCCAGGCCCTCAACTTCGCAGGAGGGACCTTAGAATTCAGAGTGCCTCAAAGTGACCTGGTCAGCGCCCGAGTGCAAGGACTAGCTCATCAGTGCATGAGACAACAAAAGCCACCTCAGCAGGCGCCGGCCCTAACAGCCGACCAAGTCAGGTGGCTACAGACGGTGGTTCAGTCTGACGAGACGCAGTATGAGAGATATATGGCAGCCACTTTTCTTTTCATGATTTATGCAAGGGCACGCCATAGCGACATCAGGCGAAGCAAGCGAATCACAGTCGACAGGGATGAGATGGGAAACCCCGTCTACATTGAATGTTCAGTCTTAAATCCCAAACAGTCGAAGGCCAGTCGGCGTAGAAACCTCTTCTTGCCACTAGTTGCGCCGGCAGTCGGCATCTGCGAGCAGCCTTGGGCAGTCGAGTGGTTGTCGCTTCGCGAGCACCTTGGCTTGGTCTGCGACGGTGACATAGAGAACAGCCCCTTGCTACCCGAACTCGCAGCCGACGGCGGCCTCCTTCAAGTCAACATGGACTCAGCCACGGCTTCCCGGTGGTTGCGATGCCTGCTATCCAGACAACCTGGCAGCAATCAGTCAGACCTTCTGAAGTTTTCCAGTCAAGGTCTGAAAGCTACCTGTCTCAGCTGGTGCATGAAGTACGCCATTGCAGACCGTGCCCAGACTTTGTTAGGCTATCACAGTCTAGGCAAGAGCGCCAGTGCCATAAGTTATGGCAGAGATGCACTTGCAGGTCCGCTTCGCACTCTTGAAACAGTGCTAACGGACATCAGGCAAGGCAAGTTCAAGCCGGACTCCACGAGATCGGGCAGGTGGCAGACGGCGAACGCTTCAGCCTCCGCCTCTTCCGCTACACCGCCGCAACCGCCAGCAGACGCGCAGGAGCCGACTGCAGTCTCGGACTCAGACAGCTCTGCCGAAGACCTGGCCTCTGAGGGTTCATCGGGCGAGGATACTCAGCTCTTGCACAGTGTCAGTCACAGCCTAGCCTTGGTAGCAGGTAGTGATGACTTTCAGTTTTTGACGAATGTGAAATCAGGAATTGTGCATATCAGTCGCAGAGAGGCGGACCGCCTCCTTTGCGGGAGAACAGTCTTCAGTGGCCTTAAGATCGCCGCTACAGTCGATTTCAGCCGTGTACAGGCCTGTTTGACATGCCAGTCTGTGGCAGAAGGTCTTATAGCTGGGGAGTGGGCTTGTGCCACGTCCTCCTAAAGGGGGCCGAAGTCGTCGCACGGGTCCCAGCCTTGAACAGCCGGTTTGCAGGCGCTTCAGTCGCAGGAACTTTTCCAGTGGCTGTCAGGGGCGCAGGACTTCTGACAGAAGCAGACACGAAGCCCGTAGGAACGACCTGCGGAGCTCTGAACCCCACCTTGTGAAAAGAACCTCTGCCTGCATCACTCCGTAGAGTTGACATCCGTTAAATCAGCATAGAGTTTAATTTAAGGTACGAAGAAGGTGCCCGGAATTGAGAACACATTCTTTCAGGCGAAGCACTGCCCTAGACCCTAAACTTTGCCCTAAACTAAACCCCAAACCCGCCTGCCACTCCTCTCCCCTCTATTGGGGTAGGCGGGCACAGTCAAGTGCTCAGCTAGACCATGGCAGGCTCTGCTGGGCTGCAGAGCCTGAGGGTCACCTATGTCCGTCCTTCGCCGAGGGTGGGGGCTACAGCCCGACGCAGAGTGTTTTCTCAGGAGGTATGTGAAATCAGATTGGCTGGCAAGGGTTCGGCTGGCTCCGTCTGGCTTCGTTTTGAGATCTGCAATCTACTGCGCGCTTACCAGCGTGCGACCTCGCCGTGCACGCCCAAACCCGAAACCCTAACCCTAAACCCTAAGCCCTAAACCCTAAATGCTACTCTTGGAGGACAGCATTCGCTTTGACCTGCAAGCAAAGTGCCCGCAAGGCCGGACTGCCCTGTGCCCCTGAAGGGTTTAGGGGTTAGGGGGTTAGGGGTTACCCTAAACCCTAAACCCTAAACCCTAAACCCCGGGATCCTCATTACCCCCAAGCCCTTAAAAGCCCTTAAGCTCCGAAAGCCGAACGCAGGAGTTCATGGGCACTCATAAGTAGGGTTCTAAGTATGGTAACTATGGCTGTTTAGGGGTTTAGGGGTTTAGGGTTTAGGGTTTAGGGTTTAGGGTTTAGGGTTTAGGGTTTAGGGTTTAGGGTTTAGGGTTGCAACCTTGTTTAGGGTACATATAGCCCTACTTCTAAGTGCCCATGAACCTCCAAGCAACACCAGCTCCCGCATCTCAGGCGTGAAGAAGAAGTCGGTCTACTCCAAAGATCTCCGCGAGACACCCAGCACTCTTTTCTTAGGGCTGAGGCTACTGTTTAGGCTTAGCTAACCCTAAGCCCTAAACCCTAAATTCTAAACCCTGAACCCTCTGAACCGAACCTGAAATCTACGATCAGTTGGGCTCGGCAGCGGGTTGAACTGTCAAGATCCTTGAACTGTCAAGATCCTGGGTCCTCGTCTAACACTAAACCCTATACATGTTAGGGTTCAGGGTTTAGGGTTCAGGGCTTAGGGTTTAGGGTTCAGGGTTTAGGGTGTTTTGGGGTTTAGGGTTTAGGGTTTCTCCTCAAGAGCTGCCAAGTGTCGTTTGTGAAGTTCGGGGTCTTGGACCCCTGGTGCCCAGCACTACCCCAGTTTTCCTGCGTTCTTCCGGGAAAGCCAAGCAAGGTTCCCTTCTGTTGCTAGAGTTACCTGGCCGAGGGATATCAACAAGTTACTGAGTTTGGGGTTTAGAAGGGCTGAGGTTTAGGGTTGAGGGTTTCGGGTTGAGGGTTTGGGGTAGTGTTCTTTTTTCTTGAGTACATGGCTTCACAACATACGACCGGTACCTCAAGAGAACCTTCCATGCTAACCCTGCACTAGGGTCTTTAGGGTTTAGGGTTTAGGGTCACTTCTGTTACTTCTTTCATCCCAAAAGGAGCAGGAGAACTTAGAGAGCCTTCCGTGGCGTCAGGCTGGAAAGCGCTGACGGATGAGCAGCAAGAGCAGCTCCAGGAAAGTTCCTTTGCTTTGGGTGGTAGGTTCTCTTGACCAAAGGGTCCTAAGTACCTACATGGTAGAAAGTAGGATTTCTGTAGTAGGAATTACTATTCTGGTTTGGGTAAGTGTCCGCCCCATATAGGTACTTAGGACGTTGGTAGGGTAGCATTTTTAGGGTTCAGCGCTCACCTTGAAAGGGCTATGATGTAGGGATGTAAAGAGTTTGCTTCCGGTGTCCTTTTAGGGGGTCAAGTTGGCTCACAAGTCCTCGGCCTAAGGTGTTGAATTCGCCAGCTCTTGCGCGTTGCGCTGCTTGGGGCTTAGATTTCGGGTCATTGGCTCACATGAACCGCCCCCCTCCACCCCCGACTTGCCTTTGTTGTCAGTACTCAAGCAGATCACCGAAAACTTGCGATGAAGGGTAGTCCCGATACCGTGTCAAAGGCTAACCTTTAGGTCCCGAGGAAACTGGACAAGCGACATGGGTCGTTCCTTAAATCAGGGTCGCTTTTGGTAACGGCACCCTTGAAAAAACAGACCCCCCCAAAAGGGACCCGAATTTGAGAACTACCCACATGTCTGCACCTTCTGAACCCACCGTCTGCTCCCGCGGCTCATCCACGGGGCGAACGCAGGCAGACCCCCCAGCGCCAGTGGATGATGACATCCTCCTCGCGCAGCTTGCGCCAGGCATGGACTGAGGGTAGCGTCATGGGCCCTCAACATGGTCCCTTACCTCCTTTAAAAAGGGTTCTGATGTATGGGGCCCTTACCTTACCTCCTTTAAAAGGGGTTCTGATGTATGGGGCCCTTACCTTACCTCCTTTCAAAGGGTTCTGATGTATGGGGCCCTTACCTTACCTCCTTTAAAAGGGGTTCTGATGTATGGGCCCTTACCTTACCTCCTTTAAAAGGGTTCTGATGTATGCGCCCTTACCTTACCTCCTTTAAAAGGGTTCTGATGTATGGGCCCTTAGTTTGCAGAGGGTATATAAGAAGGGCTATAATGAAACTACCCCAAGAGCAAGGCTGGAAGCTAAACCCGAAGATTCAAGCTCTGGGTACTTGGAGGTTCATGGGCAAGTAGGGTTATAAGTACCCTAAAAAGGTTAGAACCACAGTTGCCATACTTATGAATAGCCCTACTTCTAAGTGCCCATGAACCTCCAAGTATGTCCATGACCTGGGGGCGGGGGGGAAGTCTTGCGAGCTATAGGGCAGGGGCAGAAGAGTGAAGGTTTGATTTTAGGGTTTAGGGTTTAGGGTGTATTGCATGAGACAGGGAAACCTCGCGACGCAGAGCAACCCAGACCGCTGGGAGGATCCAAAAGTAGATCCCTGTAAGGGTTCCGAAAAAATGACCCAATAGTAGTCTAACCCTCCAATGCTTGTTTTTTGGGGTTTCTACTTTTTGGATCCTTGCAGGGGTCTGGGAGAGTTACTGTGGCATTGTTTCTCAGTTCTTGAGTTGCTATCCGCAATCCTTGCTTCCATTTTTTAGGAGTTTAGGTTTGGGGTTTAGGTTTAGGGTTTGACGGATGTTTTGGGCTACAGGCCACATGTGCCACAGGCGTGGTTTGGAAGAAAATTCGACTGCTTTCCGTGAAACGTTCCAGTTTAGGGTGTTGAGCTTTCATTTTAGGTATATAGGTTTCCCTTGCCAGGGGTAGCAAGTGTGTTTCACCTGTCAAGCCAGGTCCTCAAATCTTCTCATCACTAAACGATGCCACGTAAATCAGCAAAGAAAGGTCACATTCGGCCAGGCATGTGTATGAAGGGCTTTTCACTCGAAAGCCCTAAGAGTGGACTGCCCAGGTCTAAACAAACTGCACAGGAGGGTTTTGTCTCCTTTCAGGTTTCAGGGGTAGGGTTTCGGGTGTGGGGTTTTGCCCCTTGCCGGTTTCAGGGACCAAAAGGGACCGGAGTTTTGAGAGCTCCCCCCCGATGGCAGGTCAAGAGATCGTGTGCGAATGCTACTGCCACTTGACTGCACAGGGCACAATGGAGCTCAAGGGGCTTGTGGCCATGGTGCCCCTATGCGCATGATGGGCGGGCTCTATTAGCCGATAGACTGCCATGCATTTAGGGATATGTACATATATGTATATATATATATATGTATATATATATATATATGTTTACGTATTCATGTTTTTTGGTTGATGTATATGGGATGTATATGTACCCATACAATTGATACACAGCTTTGCCTGTGTTGAACATTGCTGACGCTCAGGCGAGAAAGGCCTCGGCAAGGACCGTTGTGAGCAGTTTGCAAAGCAGCACAAGGTCTTGACGCTAACGGTTTCTGGCTTTCAGCGATCCAAAAAAATCATCACTAATTTGGAGATTTAGGCACCAGAACCACAAATCTTTCACCAAATAGATCCTTGCCCTGGGGGGTTAAGAAGGTCCACGTCGGTTAGCCATGCTGCAGAAGGCTTCTTCTTCTTCTTGTTATTATTATTATTACTCTTTTCTTCTTCTTCTTCTTCTTCTTATTCTTGTTCTTGTTCTTGTTCTTGTTCTTGTTCTTGTTCTTGTTTTTCTTCTTCTTCTTCTTCTTCTTCTTCTTCTTCTTCTTCTTCTTCTTCTTCCCTTGCGGATAGGGTCTGGAAGACGCACGGAAATCCTGAGCCCTAATTCTGACGACCCCTAAACCCCAGCCCTGTCCCCAAACCTTAAACCCTAAACCCTAAATCTCATGCTTCTACAGCAAAGAAGCACGGAGTCGCCCTGTATCACCACCCCTCCCCCCAAAAAAAAACACAAATAATGAAAGTAGAACCTCCCTCAGAAAGACCTCCGAAAGGCCCCAGCTGTTGCCGGCCTATAGTAGGTAGAGAGTTGAGGGGTTTGGGATTTGTGGTTTAAGGTTTAGGGTTTTGGGGTTTTAGGATTTGAGGTTTAAGGTTTAGGGTTTCGGCTATTATCATTTATGGTTTAAGGCTTATGGGCTTCGGGATTCAAATCCTTGGGGGAGAGTACAGAGTTCTCGCAGGAGAATTTAAACAAGAGTCGCCAGCTCAGACCAAGATTGCAGCAGGAGCATGCGAAGTGGTCGCCTGTTTGCACGGCGTACTACCGCCTGCACCCTGAAATCCGCCTGCATCTGAGATGAAGATGTTCGGGTTGAGGGCTTGATGAATCACATATTATTGTTTTATGCCGCCTGGTTAATTTTGAAAAGGCTCTCTTAGTTTTTGATGTT